ATGAATATGATAATCACATGATTGTATGACCTTAATTCTTAGAAGTCTTAAAGTTCATACAACAGCACCGTTCCTTCTTTAATTATGATTTTTTCCTTTTTCCTCCTTTTTTTTTCTTTTGAGTTCTTTCAATGTACTTCATGAAAATATTTCTAAAGGGAAGATTTATTTAGGCTATAATATTGGTGACAGCATAAGCAAGTACATTGCTGGGAAAACAGTCAAGTGTTTAACATAATAGACAGGACAAGATAATAGGTAAGAACATACAACTTTCAGACACTATCATATACCAACCAAAGCATCGTGTACTTGCATGGGATGTAGCTAAGCAGCAATCTAGATAAATTAAACACATAACCTATCACTTGGTAAAGTTAGAAATGCCATCTTGTTTCGGGTTTCATCCTCCCATCTACAGGTTGAAATAAACCAACTATCCATGATTGAATCGGGAGAAAGACAATGGATTTCTCATCACTAATTCCTATAGCTGACCAAGTTTATATAAGTGCTGAAAAACTCACTCACTTGAGCACCACGAAGAACTGCCTCCGCACACTTTCGGCTCACAATTACCTCCTTAAGAGGTTTGCCTTCATTGTACCCATAATGTATAGCATGTGGTCCTGAACCTTTAACAAAAACTACATAGTCCATACCAGGAAATTGACACTTTGAAATACTTTCGATGGCCTTAAGAGATTCTGCACTTCCAGTGCATTCTAAGGTTGCCTTACGACAATTATCCGGCTTCTGTGTAATAGTAGATTCTTGAACTGTGACATCGAGCATTCCTCTTTCCTTAAAAATTTCCAAAAGCTTCTCCATAACTGCATCACTTGTCGATTTGAGCGTATTCACCCGGATGCAAGAGTAACATGATGGGCGCCTAAGAAAAGCATTAAAATTTGTACATTAGAAGGAAATATCTATATGTAAAGCAACCATAAGTGACACTTTTCATGCCTACAGTTAAGGCATTCAAATATCAATCACAAACAAAGAAACGTGTTGAGACAATGTTGGAAACAAGAAGAAGCCATTAAAAAAATCATCAACAACAACAACAAAAAACCCAGTTTGATCCCAACAAGTGGGGTCTGGGGAGGGTAGTCTGTACGCAGACCTTACCCCTACCTAATGCAGGTAGAGAGGCTGTTTCCAATAGACCCTCGGCTCAGGAAGGGCAAGAAGAAGAGGAGGAAAGCAAGGGAGGAAGAAAGATGGAAGATAAAAGAAAAAGGGAGAGATAAAGGATAAGTGGTACCACATCATAGCAACAGGGAATACAATACCTGAGGCGAACAAAACCACATAACATAATAAAATCTAAGAATATGAAGGGACATGCATACTACTAAGACTATCGGTGAACTATAAACTACCTACTAACCTTCTACCTTAATCCTCGACCTCCACTCTCTCCTATCAAGGGTCATGTCATGTCCTGCCTAATCACCTCTCGCCAATACTTCTTAGGCCTACCTCGACCTCTTCTCAAACTCTCCATGGCCAACCTCTCACACCTCCTAACTGGAGTATCAATGCTTCTTCTCTTAACATGTCCGAACCATCTCAGCCTCGACTCCCGCATCTTGTCCTCCACGGAGGCTACTCCCACTCTGTCCCGGATATCTTCATTCCTAATCCTATCTCTCCTGGTACACCCACACATCCATCTCAACATCCTCATCTCTGCTGCTCCCATCTTCTGCACGTGGGAGTTCTTGACTGACCAACACTCAGCCCCATACAGCATAGCCGGTCGAACCACCACTCTATAAAACTTACCCTTAAGTCTTAGCGGCACATTCCTATCACACAAAACACCGGAAGCGAGCCTCCACTTCATCCATCCCGCTCCAATGCGATGTGCGACATCTTTGTCAATCTACCCGTTACCCTGGATAATAGACCCGAGATACTTAAAACTCGCTCTCTTTGGGATAACTTGAGCATCAAGCTTAACCTCTACGTCTGCATCATGGGTCTCGTCACTGAACTTGCACTCCAAGTATTCTGTCTTGGTTCTACTCAGTTTGAAACCTTTAGACTCCAAGGTCTGTCTCCAAACCTCCAACTACGCGTCTCGTCAATCAACACTATATCATCGGCAAATAGCATGCACCAAGGCACCTCCCCTTGGATGTGACGCGACAATACATCCATCGCCAAGGCAAATAAAAATGGGCTAAGAGCCGATCCCTGGTGCAACCCCATCACCACAGGAAAATGCTCCGAGTCACCACCCCCGTCCTCACCCGAGTCTTAGCATCATCATACATATCCTTCCATTAAAAAAATCATCAAACGAGGAAATACTCCGAAGCCACAATTTTTTACTTAAAAAATGAATTTAATTACCAATAGGTTAATTTTTATTAATTTCTTCTTTTGCTCAACCTCATTTTTGCCTATATAGCTTTACCAGGACCTACAAACACAGAGATTGAGCTCAAGTGCTCAACTCTATTTCATCAAATCTAAAAACTTCTTTCTATCAATTCAACGTAGAACTCAAGTTAATTCAAAAGTTTACTAACAGATATAACAAAATAAAAAGTGTAAAACTGGAAGTGACAGTATAAATAGCTTACGTGAGTGCAGTGGAAATACGAGAGAAATGATCAGCTCCGTATGCTTTAATGAAGTATTCTTCAACCACAGGGTTCCATTTCAAAGTTGGGCTGTAACGGTAACGCGCGGTTTGATCCATCTGTACGTGAATGAAAACTTACACAACGTCAACATAAGCTGTATATCAATGACTAGGGCAGAGAAAGACTGTTAGTTACCTGAGAAATGGGAGTGAAGAAGCTTCTACGAATGGCTTTGATGAAGTTCCTTCCTTTCTGCATTCATTCAATTTACAGGCGGAGGAGAGGGAAAAGTGCTTTCCATACCGTTGCGATGTTTATATACGAACCCGCAACATGTGATATCGGGTCATCTATTAAAGAATTCGGGTCATGTTCAAGCACGAGCCTACGAGGTTTTTTTTTGAATCTTTACATAAATAGCCGGCCGAATTCACTGTTTACTATTTCTAGCCGATATACATAAATTATATACTAAAAAATACATAAATTATATGTTGATTATAAGGGTTACATATAAATTACACATATTATTCATTCATTATTTATATTTAGCTTAAGCAGTTAGATCATAGATGGACAGCTACTTAGGTTAATACTTAATTCTTCTTTTATTTTTCAGGGAACATCTTTATCTCATGATAAATATTAACAGAATTTTATCTTTTGAAAAAATAAACTTTTAACAGCATAGATATTCTTAAAATTTTGTTCAAATTATCCAAAAATCATATACTATTTTGTGGTTAACATATTAATATTTTTAAGTGTTAATGCTGTAGATGTAATTTAGTTTCTAAGGATGTAGAAGTCCGTCAAATTACAAAATTGATTTTTTCTATCAATATTTCAACGAGAAAAAGTATATTACTATGAAATCTTATCTTTGTATTAATCTAATAGATAAAAGGGGGTTAGTTATGCAAAAGGTCACTCAACTCATAATATATTGTACTCCCTCGGGTCTAAAATAAGTGATTTTTTGGCCTTTTTCTTGTGGTCCAAAATAAGTGATTTGTTCAGATTTCAAGAATGAATTAATTATTTTTTTCCTACATTGTCCTTGAAGTAAATGGTGTTGGAATATGTGTTAGGAGTATTTATGTGAGATAGTAAAGGTTAATATGGTCAATTCCATTGTTAATTAATGCTAAAAGTTGGATTTCTTAATTTGTGTGAAAACATTCAAAAAGTCACTTATTTTGAACCGAAGGGAGTAGTAAAATCATTAAACTTATTTGTTTAACCACAAAATCACTCAACTATCACTTAAGTATCAGGAATCACCCCCATTTCATTAAAACTATTTTTTTAAAACTATAAAAGGAATTCATAATCCAACTAACACTTCTAAACAAATTCAACCTCTGATTACGCGTTGGCTGTACAACTGTTAGAAGAGTGTCGCTATGTCTTTTTCTTTTTTCTTCTCTAGTAGTTCTTTTCAAAGCAACTGTAACAAAAAAAAAAAAAAAAAAATAAGAACCTTTGAATCAACTTAGTTTTTTTTTTTTTTAAAAAAAAAGATCAACTACAAAAACTTAGAGACAGAACAGTGAGAGAAGTGGATTTCTTTTTACCCTGGTTTGGTTCTTTACTGCATTAATTGATCCAGAATTTAGTAAATAGAGTCAACTTATTTTTAGGAGAAAAGATATTATGTATGGCTATGTGTTTTATAAGGTTTTTATCTTAAAGAAAATGTCAGAAAATAAATTGCACAAAAAAATCAATTAAGGGTGTATAAAAGAAAAACTACGAATCAAAAATGAAATTTTACTTCCGATGACAACATTAGTATATTTGGAAGCTAAGGTTACTCTTTGAATGCGAAAAAATTAGAGCCCCCTCCCCCATCACTAGCTTCATTAATGGCCTTTTTAGCTTCCATCTTAGCTCTCTCGTATTATTAGTCTTTTGCTTTTGCCAACTCTGTTTGTGTGAGTTTCCTCACATTGCCGGTCCCAAACTCGATAAATGAATGAGGGTTTGCGGTAGGTTTGCGTAGGTTTGCATTTCGGCGTAAGCTTTGCCAATTCATAATGAATTCTCATAGTATAGTTTTAACTAACTCATGTGAATATAATATAAAATCATAATTTGCTTTTTAAATGACAAACAAGATAGATATGGGTTTTAAAAGTATTTTTTTTATAATGACATTTGAAAACTTTCTCTTTAAAGAATGACCGAAGTACAGTAACCAAGAAGAAAAAGGTAACAATGAAGAAACATGAGCATTTTTAAATTTGATTTAAAAAAATAAAGAGTAGCAAGTAAGAGTCCAACCCATAACCTTGAAGGTAAAGGGGCAGTGTGTTACCACTAAACCAAAGTGCTAATTTGACCAGGGGTTTACACATACTTGTTTATACACATATTCCGAAAAATACTAATGTTATACATAGTTCAAGGAGAAGTTTTATTGTGTGTCTCACACAACTGACATTAGTTGTGTGAGGCTCCTTTTTGTCTCACAAATTTTTGGACCCCAATCTTACACTTCTGGGTCCACAAAAATCTGGGTCCACAAAACTGTTTAACCAAAAAATAGATTTTTAGTCAAAGCTAGAATTTAGAAGAATACGGGTTAGTGATAATCGCAAAAGTATATAAAGAAAGAAATTTGAGAATAGTAAGATATGAAAGCTAGTAAATCAGAGTATATTCCAATAGTATTTTGTGTCCCTACGATTGTTTATTCCTTCCCTTTTATAGCTATCTTTGGGATACGAGCCTGACCTTTGTCATAATAAGGCTATTATGAGCAATTAATAACTTTAAATGCTACGTTACATATTCCATACATATTCTCTAACGTTTTCAGTATTTAATACTCATTAAATACTGTATCTGGACTCTTATTTGTTGTCAGATTCATTCATTTGATTCTTCACGATCTTTAAGCTTTAAATGACTTGAATAGGTACGAGCGTTGAATTGTTTGTGTGACTACTCGTGCCTCTTCTATCACCTTGCTCGTATCTGTTGTTGCTCGTACCTCTTAACTAACCTTAAATCTTTGACTGTTTGATCAGTCTACGTGTCATGACACGTCATCACCAATATGCAAACTAAATTTTTCCCAATAAATAGTCCCCCCACTTTCCATTTATTCGTCAGTTGAATATTTGGGAAGTGGATTTCATTAAAGGATAATTTTTGTCACCATTAATGCTATGACAAGATTGACGCTTCAATAGTCACTTCTATTTAATGCTCTTCACACGTGTCAACTCCTTATCAATTCTGAAGTTTGCACCCCTTTTCAAGGCCTTTTTTACAGCTCCACTATTCACGAAGTACCAATTACCATTATTATGACCCTTCCATTACTGCATTTTCACTTTTTGACGGTTGCCCATCAGTATAAATATAATTTTACCTTTTACCTTTTACCACACAAAACTTTTTCGAACACTTGAACTGTGCAAATCTCTGTCCCCTTCTTCTTCTTCTTCTTCATGTCTTCTTCGAACCCTAACCCTAGGAGAGTTCCTATTTTAGACAACTTTTCCAATGCCCATGTTAGACATAGAAGGGATGGAAGACTTCGTAGTTTAGGATCCTCTCGTGGTGGTGGTTCTCCCATGCCTTCTCCTAGCCCTGGTTCTTCTTCTAGAACTAGAGGTTCTTTTACCTAAAAATCATCTTCTAAGGGCAAGGAACCCTCTGAACCATTACAAGAGCCTTTGGTAGAAGAGATAGTCCCTAACGATTTATCTTTTCACCGTGATAGACGATCACTTCAAAGCCAAGTTTCGGGTCTGGATCGTGCCGATGCTTACCCCACTTTGATTACAGAAGTTTTAGCTCCCATAGTCCGCAAAGATTGCCACTAGAGTGATGATTTTTCCATTGTAATCCCCAATCCAAATCAAACAATTACTTCCTATATGACTGGACTTTCTTTTGTTTACACATACCCTTTTACTCTTGGGTTTAAACCAGCTATCGATCCAGTGATTCTCGATTTCTGTCGTTTCTTCAAAGTCTGTTTAGCACAGATTGGCCCGTTGGTATGGAGGGCTGTTGCTTGTTTAAGACATCTGGCTAATTTAGCAGATGTTAACTTTACCTTACCTCACTTAATTCATCTCTACTCCCCTAGGTTTTTTCGTAATGGCATTTTTACCTTAGTGGCTAGGAGTAAGAGGGTTTTGGTGAGCCCAGAAGATGACAAGGACCGTGGCTGGTATGCCCGGTTTGTTGCTGCCCCCACAGTTGGTTTAGTGGGTAGAGAAAACATTCCCTTCCCTGAGAAGTGGAATTTTGCACGTAAGTTTCTCACCTTTCTCGTACCTTTTTCTTTCGAGTTTATCAATTTCTTTAACTTTGTTTTTCTCCTTTTTTTTAGCAACCATGGGATGTGGAGAACGTTCCCAATTTTCGTGGTTGGGTAGATAAATTGTTGAAGATCGCGCCTATGGAGGCTAGGTCTTGGAAATATATTTCCAATCGTTACGGTTGGAAAGTGAAGACTCACGGTAAGAGTTTTTGTCTTTCTCGTATGTAAAAATTTATTGTTTTAACTTTCATCCTTCTTTTTGTCAGGATTTGCTATTCGAGGCGTTACTGCTGCAGCAGTTGCGGCCTCTCGTTCCTCTTCAGGAACTCAAATTTCCTTAGAAAGGGCTCAGGATATACTCTTGAAAAGAAAAACCATTGAAGAAGATGACTCCGAGGAAGAAGATGAAGATGGTTCGTTGATGACAAGGCCAAGAGTTAGGAGACGTATCATCTCTGACGAAGCTGAAGTTTCTCCTCATCTTTCTCCTACCGGGCCTGTTCATCTCGTCTCTGATGATGACGTTGTCACCCCTCGTGACACTCGTGACTCTATTAACTAGCTTTTCGTTAGTGGTTTCGAGAGTGGTGAGTTAGGGCCTGTTTTGGATGAACTTCCCCTGTCTTCCTCTTCAACTCCCATATCTTCAATTCTTCTTTTACTTCTCCTGCCGTACCTTTGATCCCTTCTTTACCTTCTTCTGACGTGCCTTTGATTCCTTCCTTATCTGCTCCATCTGCTTTTGTACCTCCCTCTGCTGTTTTTACTTCTTCTACCGCTCCTCCTTTGGCAGTTCCTCCTCCTATTGTCCATCATACAGAAGTGGGTTCTACGAGTAGAAGTGTTGCTATGAGGAGCGTGACTATTGAAGTTCCTGCTAACAACAGCCTTTTGAGGAAATCTGGTCAGGCAGATGTTTGGCTTGAGCCCTTAATTGGCCCAATTGAGAAAGAAAAAATGAATAGTCATAGCTGTCTGACTTTGATGAACGACATAGTT